TTCGAGGGACCAATTTAAAATGTACACTTCAATTTGTGTCTCGTATTTATCTACATACACACGAATGTACATCCTTACAATATAGTTCATCACTCCTGCCGTTCTTCGCATTTTATATAGTTCCCCCCATTTCAGGATATGTCAAAGCCAGGAAGAAATGAAGAAAACGGGAACAGCTACATATCTTCTCGTTTTCATTTTTATCTCGCTCGCAGATGGACAATCGATGTAGCGAAAGAAAATTTATATTCAACCATAACAGCTTGTTGGTATTCAGCAAACGTTGAGAAAATACTTTGTCATATTTCATAAATAATGGTCCGCCCCCCTTTTGGGATCATTATTGAACCGTAAACACGAAAGACATAAATATGCATACATATAACGATTGCGGTTAATAGAAGAAGATGAAGTAAATAGAGCAGAAAGTTGCCACTTTACATAAAAGGGGAAAGCATTTTAAATAACACTTCCGGTTTATGGCGAAAAGGTAGAAAGAAGCGGGGAATAAAATAAAAAAAACTACTTAAATAATTTTTGAAATATGGTTTAAAGGATTTGAACTTACGATAGTTATGGGTTTTTTATATTTTTCATTTAATAGAACTAGAAACTTAATTTTGGGAAGTCAACCAGGTTAGGGTACCAACCTAACCATTTTTATTAACAACGATTTGTACTGGGAATAGGTAACACTGATATAGACTTTGGGATTGAAAAGTCTATATGTTGAAGTGACTTTTGTTCGGAACCATTTTTCGACCATCAATCTGTGGCACGTTGTTAACGCTCCATAAAGTGTACAAAGATTTACGTTTCTATACCCTCTTGAAAAGGAGGGAGTATATCAAGCGACAAAAGACAAACAATATTTTTCACGAGAGATCATTCCACCAATCATATTTGGTATAAACTTTTAGTGTTTTTCTTTCTTAAACAAAATTAGTAACCTAAAGGTTAGCTAACTCAAGGTGTAGCATTTTTATACCCTTCCCCATAGTATGGAGGGTATATTAAGTTTGTCATTCCTCGAAATATACATTTTAGACCCCGCAAAGTTTATCTATTCTTGATCAGCATAAAATTCTATGTCAATTTAGCGATGTCCGTCCATCTATCCGTCTGTAGAAATCACTCTAGCTTCCGAGCGAAATGAAGTAGATTGATAAAATGTTACTCAAATGTGTATAATATCATCGGAAATGTTTCAAATTTGGTATTTGAAGTTCGCAATAGGTACTACAGCCTACAACAGAAAATTGTCTGTGCAGATCCACGTCTTCGTATAGCCCCCATATAACGGTACCCCTGATATTTGGCATTTTCATAATTTTAGCGACATTATTCACCGGAATTGTTTCAAATTTTGTATTTGAAGTTCGCAAAGAATACTACAGCCTAAGACAGAAAATTGTCTGTGCAGGTCCACGTCTTCGTATATCCCCCATATAACGGTACCTCCCTATATTCGGTATTTTGACATTATCCACCGGAATCGTTTCAAATTCTACTACAGCCTATGACAAAAAATTGTCTGTGCAGGTCCACGTCTTCCTATAATATAACGGCTACATTCGGTATTTTTAAGATTTTAACAGAATTTTTAACGAATTTTATTTTTTGCCGAACTTACACCTTTTTTACTTGTTATAGAGTAGATTTTAGCCATATTTTAAAAAGAGGTCCGAAAAGAGTTATAGTAAGTTATACCTAAATCGACTTTCTATCAATTGATTTTGGTGTTAAAAAATCGAAGTTGACCTTTGCCTATGGTGAAATTCATAAATCGGACATATTGAGGTTACAATCCACTCTACAATTATCGGAAGTTAAGATATTGTACTATACGATTTCGTTATGTTAAATCAAAGTATATGTATCTAATACACTCGGAGACCTTTCGCTCCATTATGATCAACCAACTTGAAAGAATAAAAAGTTGTAATAAAAGTTGAGAGAATGAAAGTTAATAGATGTTCATAAAAATTAAAGGAATTGAGAGGTACATCGAATAGTGTCGAGTTTAAACTCCGGCGCCAGCCTTTTAGCGTAGTTACAGATCACAATGAATGCACTCTGAAATCATGAGTCGTAATCTTTCCCAGCAGGACAGTGTTCCAGTTTTGCATTCTCTTCTTCATCCTTACATAGCCTGCGGTATTCGATGTTAGAATTATTCCGTTTGAACGTTCTTGATCGGATTTTGCAATTTCCCATATTTATCCCTATCATTGATTTGTTCATACTTAATAGAGACTCTTCTGTCCAAGTGGTTCCTTGTACCAGCTCACTTTGGTTTTCTATCGGAAGTGAAGTTTTTACGCTCCTGTAAAATGACAAAGAGGACATTTAAAGATGTCGGCGACTTCAAAGTCTTTCGACTGCGTCATTCATCGGCAATTCCCTCAATATTACAATGACCAAGTACCCAGCAAAGCCGGATTGTAGTGTGCAGTTTTCCCGGAACCGTTCTTCATATCAGGATTGGTTTTAGAAGATTCAATAGCATTAAAAGCCGCATGATTATCCATATAAATGTCAACGTTTATCATTCTCCATAATTTTAATAAATTCTGCTGCCTACATGATAGCAAAAATCGCTGACTGGAAAACACTGAATTTTCCATCAAAATGATGTCATTCATAGTTAATCACAGAAGGCTCCGGCTACCTTTTATCCGTCAGTATATATCGGCACATCGATTAGAGGAAGGCGTTCTTATTTTTATTCATTACCTGTTTGGAATCAGTATCACATCGAATCGAGGATCGAAGCTTACTTCAGCTCTTAGAAAGTCCAGTTTATTATGTTCTAACAGCCTCATCTCACTTCGAGCAGCCTGGCTCTGTTTTTCTACCGTTTTTTATGCGCCTGTTGTTAGAATTGAAGCAACGATTTGATTCACTGACTTCGTTAAATAGCTTCAATAGGCCCGGTACTAATATACAGGGTGAGATGAAAAAATTGCAACCCACTTCAGACTGCTGTCATTTCTAAGGCACTCCTCTGACAGCTGTTAAAATTATTCCAGTGACAGCCTATTATATTGTTCACAAGCGTAAAAAAGCATTTTGGTGAGAATTTTTCAGAAAAAAGTTATTCGTGATGGAATTCAAGCGTGATAGTGTGATTTCTTTATATTTGGCTTGAAAAACACAAGTGGATATCGTTAGAGCACTCCAGCATATAAATGTGAATAAATCTTTTGTGTTTCGTACCATCGCTCGTTACCGTGATACTGGTAGCGTAGCCCGACGTCAAGGAAGTGGACGGAAGAAAACAGCAACATCAGCATAAATGGTTCGAATAGTAAAGAAGCGAATTGATCGAAACCCGCGTCGCAGTGGCCGAAGAATGGCTCGTGAGCTGAACATATCGCAATATTCCATACGGCAAATATTGGAAAAATGTGCTCGGGGTAAAGCCATTGAAATTCCAAAAAGTGCAAGAACTTACACCGCAACAGAAAGAAAATAGACTCAAAAGAGCGAAAGAGTTGCTTCGCTTGGCCGAAAGTGGTGAGAAAACATTCGTTGTCAAGCTTTTTGTAAACTAACAAAATGATCGTGTTCACTTGCCAAAGAGGTTAGCTGAAGATGTGCACCTTCGGTAGGCCGGCAGAACTTAAGCGCCGGTCATGGTTATGGTGTAGGCCGCCATAACAGCCGATGGTCGCTCTCCGCTCGTATTAATCGTGGCATCAGAACAAATGCCGAATATTATCGCGAAAATATTCTGGAGGGTGTATTAAAGATTTGGACAAACATTTTGGCCGCAGGCTTTGGACATTCCAACAGAACTCAGTACCATCGCACTCGATCGATCTCACCATCGGCTACATTATGGGCAAAAACTACAATTACTTGTCTAGACAGCCTACATTTGACAAATGCAATGAAAAACTCCGAAGTATTGCAACATTGTGTGCCAGTGTTTGACAGATTATTATGATCGTTTTCTGTTGTTTGGGTAATGATCCCAGTTTTATAAGCTCATGATATAAAACACCATTCGAACCTCAACCGCAATCAGATCATTACATTGATTGAAGGATGTTCGCCATCAGAGTTGATTCAGCTGATTGTTTGGGCATTACATACGACTTCTTACACATTTGCGCAACACCAGTAACATTGCGATGCAAACTTTTTATGATATTCTAACAGAATTTTTGAGAAGAAACCCGGCTATTACTTAAAATTTTTACACAACTTAACTCCTCTCCAAGCATGTAAAAACGGCTCGTCGAGTAACTCTTGCTGATAATGCATACGATTCTTGTGTATGACAAAAATCTTAGTGGAGTTCGCCATCTTCAAACTTTAGTGGCAATCTTGCCTACTATGGCCGCTTCAAAAAATCCTAAAAATTATGTAGGCACCTTCCAAAGCAGGGAGTTACATGTGGAATATTTTCAGGGCTCCATCAGAATTTATTTATAACTTTAAATGCAAATATGTTAAATTGAGAATAAATTTCCTTCCAATTGGATTCATGGCTGAAATTATAAATAGTTAAATGTATTTATTGGTCAATATCATTAATAATATACTTAACATGTTTTATATCTTTTTTTTCAATTTGTGCTTTCCAATTCGAGTTTTCCACTGCATAAATATTTCAAATGGTTGGTTGGTTCGTTGCTCAACAAAGGGCTTTGTATTTCATGATTGACCATTTCCGTTGGTCATTGCATCCGGTTTTTGCGCTACCATATTACCATGGTCCACATGGCGTACAAGAAGGAAATACTCATTAGAGAATATATAGCGGAAGTTGGGCAGGAATCGCATACATACATGTACAGAAATAAAAACGCACACAATCACATTACATTTCGTGTGTGTGTGTGTGTGTGGACATAATATTGAATTAATATGACAATAGAAATTAAATCAAAATAGTCTGATAAATGATTATGGAAAAGGTTTTTTTTGGATTCAGTTTAGGGATTGAATTTCGAGTTTTTAGAAGGATTTTCCTTAAATTTCTGGGAGACTTTATATATCGGGAGATTTTTCGGGTTATTTATTGTATTTGTCTTAGAGTTACATTTCAAGCATCTGAGTAGCATATTTGTTCTAGTTTTTTTTTTTCTTAAATATTTTCTTTTTTTTTTTCTTTTCTCACCTTTTCGTCATAGTTTAGTTATATTTAGGAAATAATTTAACTTAATTACGTTAACGTACAAAGTTCTACATCTATGAGTCGTCAGTTTCCAGTTCGGGTACAAAGGTTGCCTTGAAAATATCATATAAACTAAAGTACAGTGCCGTTGTGAGACCCGATTTGATGAGTGTGGGATTCATGCCTTTGTAAAAGCCCATAATGCCTTCCTCCCGATAGGTCAATCGTATACATTCGCCAATACCGAAACACACTTGATTACGGCCAAAGGTACGTCGAGCATTCTGGAATCCCTGCAGTTGCAGTCGTTTCTTTATGAAATCCAGCGGATAGACAATGGCCTTGGACACCACACCAGCCACACCGCCAGTAAACAAATGCACCACCACAGGCAAATGATGATTCGGTGGTTCGGCCATGCTCATAAACAGATCATTGGTCTTGTGATAGAAGGCAAAATTGAAACCAATCAGTGGACCGATTTGAATCAACGTCGTGCCGAGTCCACGAAACAGGCCATAGAAACCCTCAGTTCGGATGATATTTGGAATTATGTGTATCACACTGCTTTTGCGATTTGGGTCCTGGCCCACCACTCGGGTGCGCACCACATCAAATGGCATGGAAACGGTTGTGCCCACACAACCAGCCACACCGCCACTAATAAAATGCCTGGTATTCTTATTCTGTTCCAAATACTCGTACTGGCGTAACTTCAAATCGATTTGTTCGTAGGACCAAAACTGAAATATCGTATAGAGCATGGTGAGCATTTGTCCGGCATTGTGACCCTTCCAGAAGGCCAATAGACCCTCCTCTTTGTAAATCAGTTTACTGGCCTGGGCCAGGGAACGATATTTCGAGGGATGATCTTCACTAACCGGTTCCAGTTGTAATTGGAAACGAATTTTCAAGACATCAAATGGCTGGGTAATGGTACGAGTAAAAAATCCTGAGGCTGCACCCGCTGAAGCCTGTTTCAGCTGCGTCAAAATCGTGTGACTTTGAACTGTGGGATGTGTGTGTTGTTGTGGCGGCGGCTGTTCATTGGATGTTGTGGACATTTTTAGGCCTTTCCTGTTTTGCTGTTTTTACTGTTCCTGTGGTTAACGCCCTTCTGTTTTTGTATGCGTGCCGACCACCACCAACCAGCCTTGTTGGTTATACCCTGAGATTTGTTTTTGGGATGGATGGATGGAACAATGCTATTAAACACGTACTTATCTGTAAAGACACCAACAAAGAAAAACGAGAGGTTAGTTTGTCTCGTATCAAAGTTTAAGTTAATTACAATGGCCATTATAATTTGTAGTCGACATTTAGTTAATTGATTTTCTGATTTCCCTGCCAGTTTATTATGGCAATGTCGTTGTATTTTATCCTCAAATTTACTACCAATTAAATGTTTATTACCCACACACACACATGCACATTTGGTAAAATTTAGGTTACAAATTACAGAGGAGAGTTTCGGCTGTCTGCTATTGTAAATAAATGTATTTTATAATGTCATTAACATGGTATTTATATATATCTTTGTGACAATGGCATCAGAAAATTTAATGGATGTTTTAATGGTAATTTATTTTGGAAAATCCTGGCGGAAACAATGTCACTGGGAATGTTAACAAATTAGAGGAACCAAATACCAAATTCGTCCAACAAGGTTCGATATAATTTTTTTAGTATCAGAAGTATTGATTATTTGAGTATCATTACAGAGGGAATTCTTCTAATTTAAATCCAATAAATTAATCTGTTATACGGTTAAGTTGTTTAAAAAAATATCACTTACATATTTGTAACATTCGGCCGGGCCTTCGAAAAATGCCGCTCAAATGAAAACCTCTATATGGGGGTTATATGAAGATGTAGCTGTAGTAACGACTCCGAACTTCAAATAGAAAGTTTGAAACAATTCGGGTAAATAATATCGCTAACATCATCGAAATACCGTTATATGTGGTGTACAAAATACTTTTTACATAATTTTGAGTGCGGTGAGGCGCTGAGAAAATCTAACTAAAAATAAATATTTGAAAATGATCAGTTTCCCAGCCGTCATAAAAACCACATGTGAACAATTCTGTGATCTTGTGCGCTGATGATACGATAATGTGTGAGATAATAAAGGTTATGACCCAAACCCACAGATATTGATGCGCTCAGTAGATGTACAAGACCACTTGGATGAAGGAACAAGCACCCAGGTAATGTTTTCTTTTAAATCTAATAATAGATATGAATAATTGTGTGGCTGTGATTTGGTTAAGTTAGATTAGTTTCAGTAGTACTTAAGGAAAATATTTTAAATTATCAACCAGAATTAAACTGACAAACGAACCCGCAAGTCGTATAAATTGATTCTCCCGCTAACATTTGGTTCTTCGAGCCGGATCAAGAATTAATTCTACAGCCAAACCATTCGCTTTAGTTTCTCTTATCGTTTAAATTTGGTCCTTCGAGCCCGATCAAGAATTTATTCTACAGCAAAACCAGTCGGTTGTGCTTCTCTTCCCGTTTACATGTGGGGCTATACAAAGACGTGGACAGGCATAGACAATTTTCCGTTATAGGTTGTAGTACCCATTACGAACTTCAAATACGAAATTTGAGACACTTCTGGTGAATAATGTGGCTAAAATAATCGAAATACCTAATATTACATGGGGGCTATACGAAGACGTGGACTTATATGTACAATTTTCTGTCATAGGATGTAGTACCCTTTGGGTGAAAAGTGTGACACAATCATAGAAATACCGAATATTTGGAGGTAAGGGGACTATATCAACACCTAGACCTACATAGACAATTTTATGCAAAGATGTTTCTTACATAATGTAAACATTTTTACAGCAAATTTCAATTGAAATTGTGACAAAGGCAGCCAAAAACCCTAAATCTATCGTTTTTTTCTCAATACCTAATTCCTGAAGAACTACCAGACATATGTGTAAAATATTATCAACCTACTTCATTTCGTTCGGAAGCTAGAGTGATTTCCACAGAGGGGCGGGCATAGCTAAATCGACATAGAACTTTATACTGATCAAGAATATACAGGGTGAGATGAAAAACTTCAACCATCTTCAGACTGCTGCCATTTCTAAGCCACTCGTCCGACAGCTTTTAAAATTATTCCAGTAACAGCTCATTATATTGTTTAGAAGCGTACAAAAGCATTTTGGTGAGAATTCTCCAGAAAAAAAGTTATTCGTGATGGAATTCAAGCGTGATAGTGTGATTTCTTTATATTTTGCTGGAAAACCACAAATGGCTATCGTAAGAGCACTCCAGCATTTAAATGTGAATAAATATTTTGTGTCTCGTACCATCGCTCGTTACCGTGATACTGCTGGCGTAGCCCGACGTCAAGCAGCATAAATGGTCCGAAAATTAAAGAAGCGACTTGATCGAAACCCGCGTTGCAGTGGCCGAAAAATGGCTTTGGATTGGTTTTCTCCGATGAGAAAACATTCGTTGTCCAGCAGTTTGTAAACAAACAAAATGATCGTGTTTACTTGTCAAAGAGGTTAGCTGAAAATGTGCACATTCGGTTGGCCACCAGAACTCAAGCGCCAGCCATATTGATGGTGTGGGCCGCCAAAACAGCTGATGGTCGTTCTCCGCTCGTATTAATCGACCGTGGCATCAGAATCAATGCCGGATATTATCGCGAAAATATTCTGGAGAATGTATTAAAGACTTGGTCACGCAAACATTTTGGCCGCAGACCTTGGACATTCCAACAGGACTCAGCACCATCACACTCAGCATGCGCCACCCAAGATTGGTTACAAAATGAGGTTCCTCGCTTCATTTCCAGCGCACAATGACCACCAAAATCTCCAGATACAAATCTGTTGTACTATTGTGTCTGGAGTATTTTGGAAAGCAAGGTTGGCACTAAAAAATACCAAAGTGTCCAGCGCTTCGCCGGGAATGGGGCAAAATACCGCAGAGCAAGATTCGGATAGCGTGTGACGGTTTCATTAGCCGTTTGAAGGCCATAATTCGTTCCAAAGATGACCATTTCGAACAATCCGGCATTTAAATAAAAGGTAAAAATTATGGCGTCTGACTTTATTGCAGCTTTTATATGTCACCCTGTATATGTGAAATTTTCTGTCATACGATGTAGTACCCATTAGGAACTTTGAATTGCAAATTTGAAACATTTCCGGTGAAAAGTGTGACACAAATAATCGAAATACCGAACAGTTGTAAGGAGACTATACCAAAACGTGGACCTATATTGCACATTTTCAATATCTAAAGTCCCGCAAACAGTTATCTGAGTAATATTTTATCAATCCACTTCATTTCGTTCGGAAGCTAGAGTGATTTTCACAGATGTATAGACGGACGGACGGACATCGCTAAATCGACAATATTGGGGGGTGTACAAATTATCTGGAGGTGTCACGGAGAAATTATTATAAATCGTCATTAAGTACAATCGGAGATCTATCATAAGAAACTTAGGAAAATAAGAAACACGAATTACAATTTTTATAGAGAGCACGGAGTTTTGCTTACGAAGATTTGTTTAATATTTGATCTGATTGGAAAATATTACTATGATTTTTAAATATAAATTGAGGATAGTAATTATATAAAAGTATTGTGGCACATAAAAACCAAGGACTATTTTTTAATATAAAACAAGTATCTGAATATCGTGTAGCTTGTAGACTTTACTTAGTTTATAAAAAAGAACTCTTAAAAGACTATTAAAGCCTTGGGAACGCAAACATTTTGGCTGCAGACCTTGGACATAACAACAGGACTCAGTACGCGCCACCCAAGAATTGTGTGACGGTTTCATTGGCCGTTTGAAGGCCATAATTCGTGTCAAAGGTGACTAATTCGAACAAATCTAAACTTATGCTAAAATTTGAAGGTATTTCCGACATTTTTTGCTTTCATTCAATAAAATTTAACAAAAAAAAAAAATTAAAATTATGACGTTTGACATTGTTGCAATTTTTTTATCTCACCCTGTATCTACATAAAGAGGACTTCCTGCAAAATTTCATCTTTGCTGAAATGTTTCCGACTTCGAAACTAAACTTGGTCTTCAGTTATTTCAATGAAAATAAAAATTTCATTAATTAATTAATGCAAACATTTTATTAAATTCTATTGAAATATTCATAAAATCTTATTTACGCACACGCACACACCCGTTTCCATTCATTTATGCAGAAAATTTCATTCCGAATAAACACATCAAAGATTGAACTATAAATTCAAATAAAATCTATGCATACATTGTGAACTTTGTATATTTAACAGATTGAGTTCATATACGAGTATAGAACTCACACAGATGCATACAAACATCCATATCCACATCTTGCCATTAACCTACAATATAAATTTTATATCATTAGATTGACTTTCAACTCGATTTGAAATGATTTCTTTGCTCCTCCTTTTTTCCCTCTCTCCCACACTGAAGCCACAAATGTTGGTTTAAGTTTTCAATTGAGTTAAATTGCAGTGCAATGAAAAGAAGAGAGCGAGAGAGAGTGAGTATGAGAAACTGAGTGGGGGGAAGTGATGGTTGGATAAAAGCTAAAATAATAGGATATATTTATATAATACGCAGCATATTTCCTTATTTCATAGTTCCGTTATTGGTCCCCAATCCAAATACACACACATATACACTCAAACTAATAGCACAAACACCATGTTAAAAAGACCCATATTCGCACACAGATCCACATTGATATAACTGTATGTTTGTATGTATTCAAATTTAGATTATTTTAAGAATATGCTACATATAAATGGTAATTTTTGCCTTGTTCGTTCGTTTGCTCAATGGTCGAATAGTTGTTTTGTCGTTCAGACACACACTCTACTGCCATCAGAGAAATGGCAAATTATGAAAATTATATGTGAATAGATAAAAAGAGAAGAAAGGGAGAGAGAGTGATTTTTTCCAGCAAAGAACACTGAATAAAAATAAAATTACATTTATCTGAAAATTGATTGTGCCTGGGTGTGTATGTGTCTGCTTGGGTTAAATTGCTTGTTATATTCACATCACACATATTTTACAGGTAATTGTATGAGGTGATTTTAATCTGATTAAAATAAAGGACAAGAGTAAAGAAGTAAGTTCATTGGAAAATTCAAATGAAAGGGAGGTGTTTTTGGAAATGCACTTTAATTGTACTAAAAGTACTAAATTGGGTATTGGGTAAAGGGAATAGAGCTAGAATCCTCAAATTTGATATTAATTGGCATCTGAAATTGAGATATGTATGCGGCTTTAAAAATGTTTACTATAATTGTTTGCAAAGTATTAAATGTGATATTGAATGAGGGGATAGGACTGGAATCCACAAATTTGATATTGAGGTCTCTGTCGGTATCTCAGGTTGAGATCTGGTGGTGTCTTTGCAAATACGTACTATAATTGTTGGAAAAGTACTAAATGGTACAAAATTTGCATGACTGTTGGTGTATATGATGGAAAGATTTGGATTGTACTAAATGTTACTAAATTTGATAGCCAATTCGATGCAATTGCGTACTAAATCTGATTAGAATAAAGGACAAGAGTAAAGAAATAAGCTCATTGAAAAATTCAAATGAAAGGGAGGTGTTTTGGGAAATGTACTTTAATTGTATTAAAAGTACTAAATTGGGTATTGGGTAAAGGGAATAGAGCTGAAACCTAAAATTTGATATGTCACAAAATGTGCTTTTGGGGTGTGTGGAAATTATTCTAAAATTTGGTATCGATGCCACTGTTAGTGTACAGGGTGTAGACAAGGAGGTGGTTTTGGACATGTGTAGTTTAAGTCAGTATGGTCATACATTTGGGATTGGGTCTTAGGAGAGAACCGGATTTCTTGATTTTCGCATGGAGGCCACTGATCATATAATTTTGATAGAAAGAGCCGGATGATTATTCGAAAAGTACTTAATATTACTAAATTTGAAATTGCGTGAATGGAATCCTGAAATTTGATATTGTGGTCACAGTTGGTTTCTAAGATTTAAATATGGTGGTTAACAATTTTTGTAATGAAGATAAGTTGAAATAGGTTTGGCCGGAAAAAATTGGATTTGAGTTTAATTAATATGCTCTTCGATAAACTTAAAAACGAAAGATTTTGAAGACTTTAAAAGATAATAATTTTGCTATTATGCTTTCCGAAAAAAGGAAAAACTTGAATAATATATACAGGATAAGACGAAAAAATAGCAACCAACTTCAGACTGTTCTCATTTCTAAGGTACTCGTCCGACAGCTGTTAAAATTATTCCAGTGACAGCTCACTATATTTTTTATAAGCGTACAAAAGCATTTTGGAAAACCACTAGTGGCTATCGTTAGAGCACTCCAGCATTTAAATCTGAATAAATCTTTTGTGTCTCGTCGTCCCATCGCTCGTTATCGTGATACTGGTAGCGTAGCCCGACGTCAAGGAAATGGATGGAAGAAAACAGCAAAATCAGCAGAAATGGTTCGAAAAGTAAAGGAGTGACTTCATCGAAACCCGCGTCTCAGTGGGCGAAAAATGGCTCTCGACCTGAAAATATCGCAATATTTCATTCGGCAAAAATTGAAAAATAAGCTCGGGGTAATGTCATTGAAATTCCAAAAAGTGCAAGAACTTACACTGCAGCAGAATAAAAAGTAGACTAAAAAGAGCTAAAGAGTTGCTTCGCTAGGCCGAAAGTGGTGAACTGCCGAATTTGGGTTTCTCCGATGAGAAAACATTCGTTGTCCAGCGGGTTTGTAAACAAACAAAATTATCGTGTTTACTTGCAAAGAGTTCAGTTGAAAATATTCACCTTCGGTTGGCCACCAGAACTCAGGCGCCGGCCATGGTGATGGTGTGGGCCGCCATAACAGCCAATGGTCATTCTCCGCTCGTATTAATCGACCGTGGCATCAGAATAAATGCCGAATATTATCGCGAAAATATTCTGGTGGGTGTATTAAAGCCTTGGGCACGCAAACATTTTGGCCGCAGACATTGGACCTTGCATTCCAACAGGACTCAGCACCATCGCACTCAGCACGCGCCACCCAAGAATGGTTACAAAATAAGGTTCCTCGCTTTATTTCCAGCGCACAATAGCCACCAAAATATCCGGATACCAATCCATCGGACTATTGTGGCTGGAGTATTTTGGAAAACAACGTTGGCACTAAAAAATACCTCAAGCAAGCGCTTCGCCGAGAATGGGCCAAAATACCGCAGAGCAACACTCGGGCAGCGTGTGACTGTTTCATTGGCAGTTTGAAGGCCATAATTTGTGTCAAAGGTGACTAATTCGAACAAATCTAAACTTATTCTAAAATCTGATGCTATTTCCGACATTTTTTGCTTTCATTCAATAAAATTAAAAAAAAGTAAGAAATATGAAGTTTGACTTTGTTGTAGTTTTTGCATCTCACTCTGTACATATCGTATTTAGTGTATATAATACATGAAATCCGTCAATATATATATATATATATATATATATATATATATATATATATATATATATATATATATATATATATACATATATATGTATATATATATATATATATGTGTATATAGCTATATCCAAACCTCGACACATCTCAATAAAATTTTTTTACCAAATCGCGCATTCATATCGTGTTTGGTGAATCAAATATGGGAAAATCGGCCGAAAATATATATGGGAGCTATATCCAAATCTCAACCGATTTCAATATAATTTGACAAAATTATTTTTGCTTCCGTTACGGACTCCAAATTTCAAGACTATATCTGCAATCGATCAATAGATATGTGCATACAAAAACTAAATTTTGTGGAGGTACCTCTGATTCTGATGCTATAACTTCCGTTCTGAGTGTAATTTCAAAAATTTATATAGCCTATATTATTTTCAGGCTATGCTATAGTACATTTGGACATTTTCAAGAAAATCTGTTCAGCAGTTATTGATTCCATATATTAGAAACAAACAATTAAATGTACAAACATTTTCCTCTTTTATAGATATAGATATTGCGTTTTTTGAATATTTATACAAAAATATTTACCTTGACAAATTCCTCCTTTTGGTCTAATTCTTAATAAAATATCCTTAGTCCTTATTGAACTGTAAGTCCTTGAAAAATATTCTTTAAATATCTCTTCTTTTTAAATCTTGTCTTTGGGAAATATTTCTCTATTTTTTTTTTCAAAAATCTGAGTGGGGTAAACAAAGATGTGACTGTGTAAGGCGATAATTTCATTAATAATTAACATAAATATTCCTCATACCCACACAAACATACAAAATTGTAGATACAAGCATACAACCATATGTATGTACATGGCGACTTGTCAGGTACAGAGACTACACAATTTGCGAACGTGTTTCATGGAATTAAAATATAAATCATTTTAAGGAAAAGCGAAAGAGAGAGAGAGAGAGGTGGAGAGAGAGAAAAAAACTTAATTACATTTAAATTGCAACAACGACATGTCAGACAACAATGTTACACAGATATCGTTTGGTGGGTGGTGGGGATGGGTTTGGGGAAGAAATTCCGGCCGTAAACAAAACGGATGTTGCGGCATCTTTCAACAATATGTGCTTGGTAGATGGTTGGCTGGTCTCTTTGCTTATCCTTGAATATATTCCATATTTAATGCTTATTACTCAACATTAACATTTATTTTCATCTTTATTTATCTTCATATCTTAATGTTATCCTCTGTTTTCTCTTTTGCCTCCTTTTCATTGCAGTTGCCAAACAGCAGGTTGTTGCCTACACCCAAAAATCGAAAATCAAAAATGAGACTCGTCACATCCAATTGGTCCGTGAATATGGCTTTCATCCGCGCAACAAGGCCACCGTGGAAGATGGCGATGTTTTGCCAAAGAAATTTGAACCATTTCCGGAGAATATGTACGGACGACCACTGGAGGAAATTGATCATTTCATATATGAAGAGGTAAGTTGGAAATGGGTTTCTTCTGCGTTTTTTTTTTTGTTTGTTTGTTGGTTTTTTTTTTTGTAAAGAAAGGAGTATTTTTCTTAATTTATGGACCACACGCGTCCACTACGGATCTATCTATGTGTGTGTGAGTAAGTGGGGGGCTTTTTGGTTGAATAAATGTATTACGGAAATGAAAATGTTATCATCGCCCACATTTATTGCCTTAAGTTGTTGTGGCCATCAAAAGTTTTTTTACGATTAAATATTTTTTCGCAAAAAGTTGGTAAACTGTTTTCTACTCGGGGATAATGGAAAATAAAAATGTGGGCCACGAGAAAGGTCTGGCTTAAGTGTCGATGGGATGAAAACGTCAATGCCGTAGGCGGGGGGTTGGAAAGGCAAAAGATGGAATCTCTGCAATGTTATGCTGGAGCTAATCACAAAGTTTATAAAAATCGGTTTTTTTTTGTGGTATTTTTTAAGAGGTTCTTATGAGGGGTCATAATTGAGAATTTAATAAAAATACAATTTGTGCTATGATGACCCACCAGAATCCACGACAAGTACCGAGAAAATAAACAAGTCGGTAGAAATGAGATTCTAGGTGCAAGCTTCACTTACCGAAAATTACAGTAAAACACGGTGGACTATGAAAGTAGAGCTAACTATAGAATAGACGTATCTCGGTATTTGGGAGGTTTTGATCCCAAAAATAAGCTAAATAGAGTGGCAACATATTGCAAAGTATAGCTTAAAAAACTGTGTCCTTTTGTGTATGGTTATCACTGGCTCTGTAAGGGTCCTAAAAAAGTTTGGCCTGAAATCCAAAACTCTTTTGAAGTTTTGACCTACAAACCGAATACTACGAAATACACTTGGACCCTAACCTACCCTACCCTACCCTACACCACATAGTGGTAACATAAAGAGAAGAAAGCGAGATAGACCCATGGTAACATAAAGATCTTTATAGAATCACTTTCTGACATGCATCAGTCCGTCCGTCCGTCCTTCTGTCCATGTATACTTTTGGACAAAATTCAGGTCGCATTTATTATCCGATTGAGATGAAAGTTTCCAAACAATATAACTTTGGCCTAAGGACGAACCCTATTGAAATCGCTGAGAATGGGTTCAAATTAAGATATAGCTCCCATATATATATCTTCAACCGATTTCGGGCTAATTGTGCACCAAATAGGCAATATCTTTCAAAATAACCTGCACATCCGAATTCAGTCCTGAAGCAAGTGCTTCAAATTTAGTGAAAATCGGTTCAGATATAGCTATAGCCCCCCTACATACATATGTTTCATCCGATTTGCTGGTATATCCCTCATATTGGAAATATGTACTTCGTAAGAATGATATTTGGTGCCAGATATCAGATACAGTACAGAAATACCTCTCCCAAATGTTATCGAGATCGGTTCAGATATAGCTCCCATACACATCTTCAGCCGATTTTGGGTTTTTTGTGCATCAAATGAACAGAATCTTGGCAATTCCAACTGAATTCATCCTAGAAATAGGCACTTCAAATTTGGTGCAAACCGGTTCTGATATAGCTATAGCTCCCATATATATGTTTCATCCGACTTGGTGTTAAAGTCCCTCAATTCGTAATATACACTCTACAAGAATGATATTTGGTACCAAATATCAGATACAGCTCAGAAATACCTGTGTCATATTGTATCAAGATCGGTTTCAGATATAGCTCCCACATATATCTTCAACCGATTTCGGGTTAATTGTGCACTAAATGGCCAATATCTGTCCAAATGACATTAATTTTGGTAGATTCACCCGAATCCACTCTAGAAGCATGTACATCAAATTCGGAGAAAATCGGTACAGATATAGCTATAACTCCCATATATATGCTTCATCCGATTTGGTCTTTAAGTCCCTCACATTCGTAATATGGATTCGATAATAATGATATTTGGTACCAGATATCTTATAGAGCTTGGAAATGCCTTTGGCAAATTTTTATGGAGATCGTCTAAAATATGGATACAGCTGTCATATAATATCCCTTATTCTTAATATCAGCCCAAATGGAGTGAATTTCGGGACGTACGTTTCCTTCTACATATGCAGGTTCGCTGTTGAGTATAGCCTCCATATAACTGTACCTTCTCATTTACGGTACTTTAAGGATTTGGGTCCGAATTTCCAAACACATCTGCATACATTTTGTGGGAAAAAAACTTCTCCTATTTATTAAAAGTATATATCCTAAATATAGCAGAACTTTCGATTTTTTTTAGGTATTTGGGGGCATAGGTCAGGTTAATTTTTAAAGTTATTAAAAGTTCGCCTCCGCTGAACTTAGTCATTTTTGATTATTTTATTTCTATATTTGTTTATTTATTTAAGTCCTCAAGAGAGCGGGAAAATATCATTTAATTTTGAGCCCATCAGGTCCATCCTCCAAGGAAGAATCTGCGTTTTTTTTCGGGATTTTAGATTTAAAAGGTCTCATAGATTTTTTTTTTATTTTTTCTTTTTTTAGTTTTTGCTTCAACCGATGTCGGACTCTTTTCTGTGATCATATCCATATCACCTATTACTGCCACCCACTTCCTTCTACTATACCCATAAAACATCCTTTAATTAATATTACATACTATGCCAATAAACATAAATTTGAGGTCATTATGGGGAACGTGTGTGCATGTGTTTGTGTGGGTTACCATTAAACTTTAATGCTCCTGGCCTCAATGTGTCCGGAGACCACCACACACAAATGATACACAAAAACCAAGTCCATCAAATAAAATTAACAGTTTCAAAACACATACATTAAATATTGTCCCATTAATTGTTTAAGATTATTATCGGTATGTGGTTGAATAGGGTTGCCATATAATTTTTATGACGGGGTTCTATAAAAGGGTGAGACAGACAATAAACATTTAATTTTTCAAAATGAATGATATAACATATGGTCTGTTCCAGAACTGCAAGATTGTAAACTGTTTTACTACAATAACCGATTTCCCCCTTACGATATCGAAAAAAATTTTAAAAGTAATAGATTCTTGCAGGCACTGTAAGAGAGCAATGTATTTGCTTAGCGACTAAATATATACACTACAGATAATAATGCTAGCTGAGAACGATTATAATATTGAAGCATAGATGGCGTTGTTTATAACATAAAGTAAAATATCAACTATAATTGTTGCGCTATTCAGAACGAATTTTTAAATAACCCAATATTTGCGAAACCCCTGTTTAGCCTAAAAACTAATGTCCAATGAACCACGGTATTATTTATGTAATTTCATAAAAAATAACAAAAACTGACACCGTCCAATATTTTATCAGCAATAGAGGGACATAAAAGGAGTAAACACATATATCATATCTTCACAGCAGATCTTGTGTTAGTACAAATAATAGGATGTGTGAAATGTGGAGAGAACCGGATGCTTATTCCGGCTTTTATAATCATTTTGGTTTTATAAAAATTTTGCCCTTTTTAGTCGAGGTCCCAAAAGGAATGATCCGATATCTAGCATCTTTATAACAGATCTCGTGTTGATAAAAAAAAATATTAAAAAGTACCACGTCCAAAGTGAATCGGATGTTAATTTCAGATTTTTTTAAGCTTTATGGTACTTAAAATTGTGACCCTTTATGAGGGAGGTACCATAAGGAATGGACCGATATATTCCATCTAAACAGCGGATCTTATGTTAATAAAAATATTTTGCTGTGTATAATTTGAAGACAGTTTGCAAAGTTGGAGCAAAATCGGAATGTCCTTTCCCTTTCAGTGCAGTAAAATATTTTGCGTGAAAATTTCGACCTTTTGTAGGGGAGGTACCAGGAGGTCCCCTCATTGTTTATATACCCTCCGCCATAGTATGGAGAGTGTATTAAGTTTGTCATTCCATTTGTAACACCTCGAAATAAGTAGGAACACATTGAAGTAGGTCGATGAAATTTTACTTAAATGTGTGTTTGGCCTGCAGGATTTTTGTTATTAAAAATGGGCTATATAGGTCCACGTTTAGTTATAGCCCCCTATATGCGTTATTTTAATGATTTTAGCGACTTGATCCGGAAATTATTTCAAATTTCGAATTTGAAGTTCTTAATAGGTTCTACAGCCTGTGACAGAAAATTGCATATGCAGGTCCATGTGTTCGTGTAGCCTCATATAACGGTGCCTCCCTGTATTCGGCATTTTGATGGTTTCAGTAGTATTATTCACTGGAATTCGAATTTCGTATTTGCACTTAGTAATGGGTACTACATTCGGGACAGAAAATTATCGAGGCAGGTCCAGGTTTTCGTATATCCCCCCTATATTGCTGCCTCCCTATATTCGGCATTTTGATGTTTTTGCGATATTATTCACCGGAATTGTTTAAAGTTTCCTACTTGAATACTATAATGGGTATTAAAACAATTGCCTGTGCACATCCACGCTTTCGTATGGACCCCAATATAACGGCAACTCCATATATTCTGCATTCTTGAGATTTGAAGAGATTTTTTTTTTTTTTTTTTTTTTTTTTTTTTTTTGTGAAATGTCAATTTTATCAAGTTTGTTCCATTTGATGGAGGGTATTCAAAGTTCGGTCCGGCCGAACAAACTGCCTTTATAAGTGTTACATCTAACAATTCCATTATTTAATATAGGCCTCATTTTATCACATTTTTATTATACCCTCCACCATAGTATGGAGGGTATATTAAGTTTGTCATTCCGTTTGTAAAACTTCGAAATACACATTTTAGACCCCACAAAGTATATATATTCTGGATCAGCATAAAATTCTATGTCGATTTAGCGATGTCCGTCCGCCGTCTGTCCGTCTGTGGAAATCACTCTAGCTTCCGAACGAATTGAAGTAGATTGATAAAATTTTGCTCAAATGTGTGTTATGGCTGCAGGACTTTTGGTATTGAAAATGGGTCATATAGGTCCACGTTTTGGTATAGCCCCAATATAACTGTACCTCCCAATATTCGGTATTTTGATGATTTTAGCG